GAGAGCCACAAATAATCCTTCAAAGAGCCGCATGTGGCTCGCGAGTCGCAGGTTGGCCACCCCTGATCTATAGCAATGATACAAAATCGTAGAGGACGAAAAAAGCAAGCGAAATCGACGTTTTACTGCCTCAATTTATTTGTCCGGCACATTTCACAAACAATTTCATGTGATGACAAAAAAGTGTTACGTTTGTATAAATGTGTGGGAGATACATGACTGAAATATATCCACAATTAACATGTGCAGTAGACAGTACATACTGTTATCTATTTTTTTGTCTCAATATTAATAACAAATATTTTGGATTCCAAATATCTGAAGTTACTTACAGTTCCTTACACTTACAATCACTTTTTAGCATTTAGAAATCAAATTATTTGTAATTTATAATTAAGTAAGTTATTATCAAAACGAAAACCACCATCTTTTTCTACGTTATATCTTTCTTTACCGCCAGATTTACGAAATCCGTAAAAATAACGAATGTTAGATTTCTTATATGAAATTACGGAAATAATTGAAATACAAAAATTGAAAAATTGAAATACAAATTGGAATACGAGATAAAGAATCATTGCATGAGATAATTTATGTATTTTCCATTATTTATTTATATTTATTGTTTAGTCTCAATTGGACTTTGTTTATCAAGCTGATACAAAACTACATATTATACTTCAATTGACGAACGCTGTCAACTGGCATACCAAGATGTCAATAACACTATTTATGGTATTTTTTTTTACAATAGCGAATAATCCTATTATATTTTCACGCACTGATTATTAATCTGAATACCATGTTCCTTCATTACTTCCGGTTTTCAGAAACAAACTCTATTTTGTAAAATGGTTAACTCTTCAACTGTCAAAATTTTGTATGCTTTGTCTGCAAAATTTACATAAATGTAAATTATCGAAAATGATTCTATAGTTTCTTTCTAATAAAATGGTATTACATTTGAATATAACATTAATATCTAAACACTGTTTGACGCAAAGCGTGACATCTATAGCGCACCAATTTTCCGTACATTTTATAATTTGTCCCATAGTGTAATTATAATATACATATACTTTTGACCTCCTTAGATAAAAAAATGCCACTCATTGTGGTTGACAATTATTCGTATGTAATGTTAAAAAAGAAGATCATTCATTACCATTTCATATATTGTTCATAATCTTTCGATAAAATATTAAGAGTCTATGTTTACATAACATTTTGCGTATCTACAAAATTGAAACATACTGTACGTGACATCGAAAAACGAAGCAATTCGAAGTCTCTCTGTACTTCCGTTATAACTTTCCAATGAACTTGTTTAAAACACTGTGTTAATTTAAAATCTTTTTCTTATTTTTGAATATAGAACGTAAAGTTTGTAAAGTTTGGAGGTAACAAAACTTACTACTGGAATGCCCCGTATAAACATAATCAAAGTAAATGTTTGCGAAACAATTCAGTTCATACAGTTCATATTTACTGTTTTGTAACGTCCCTGGTACTAGGCTCAGGTATTTTACAGCACTTATGAAGCAAAGAGCGGCTTTTGCTTATTAAGCGACTCGTTTTTACTATAACTAATTCTAAAAGAATGTGGGATCGTGGTGGCGTGTGGTTAAAGAGTGAAATCTACAGGTTAATACCTTTCATTAATTAGGTTTATTCAAATAATGATGAGAAAAAGAGTTATAATTAACAATTACTTTAGTAAATATAAAAATGTATATGTGACTGAATTCTATAAGCAAATTAGAGTATAATAGACTTGTTGTTGACGCAAATCGCAGAACGGTAGCTAACTACTTCAATTACGCGGTTTTAATAATAATAATATGCGCAACGCGAGAAAATAACGCAATTTACAATGGATCTAGATCCTAACAAAACTGACAGAACAATATTTGGTTAATTACAAAACTCTAAAATTTGTATT